TATTGTTTATCTTTTCAAATCTCTTACATCTTTGTCATCCTTTCTCACTTGAAATTGGATATGTTAATTCAAATGGTTTAGGTTTGTTTTCATTGAAAAGATTGAAGATGTAATTCTCTATGCTGAGATGTTAATGCCAATTGCCCTAGAATTTGAAGAAGCTAGATGAATCAAATAAGAGTAAATGATCCGTGCCTATAATTTATGGGATAACCTTGTTTAATCCAATGAAATTCATGTCAAGTTAGCTAGTATTGCCAAAGTGGTTGATTCTCTAAAGGATCTAAAAGACAGGGTATTTATTTATTTTTATTTTTATTTTGTTTTGAGATTAGTTTCAGTGGAGCTTTCTTACAACGTATGTTGATTTTATTTCATAGAGACAAGCACATAAAGTATTGACCATGTATTGGGTTTGTAGGCTAGAGTAGCATAACAAAGGTTTGACCTATAGCTTTTAGGGCATTGGATTATTTGCTAAGATAATTGAGATTTTAGAAAGGTTCAGTGGTCTTGGGTTTAGCTAGATGATGCCCACCACATGAATAATTGTATTTGCGTATCATCTTTGTTTTAATTTATTAGAATCTAAATATACTTCTAAATGCATATTGGTTGTACCATTCTAATATCCAGTTTATAATAAAATTAGAGACAAAGGGTTCCTTCTATAAGATTCAGTTCATTAGTCTTAATTGAGTTTATATGGGAAATCCGGAGCTTCGCCTATTGAATTTGGTTAGTTTATAACAAAACGTTTAGACACGCCTTTGACGTTTCTATAATTTTGGGTTTTTTCTGACAATGGTTGGTCGTAAAAGGACCTGTCGAGAAGAAAACCCTAATAAAAAAGAGAAGAAGCTGAATCCCATATAAATAGAAGTTGTAACTTGTTAGTATTATTTTTTTTTTTTTTTTGAAGGTATAGAAGTTGTTAGTATTATATTTTATTTTTCGGTACGTGTAGAAGTTGTTATTATTATGGCAAAAACTCTTCTTAAGCCCTCAAATTTATCTTAAAATAATATTTAAATCCTTAAACTAAAAATGAAGTAGATAGACTTTTCAATTTCACTAATGATGCAAATAAGCTTTTCTCATTCATAGATGTTAATGCTTTCGAGGTGGTATTAAACATGAAATACGTTTGGCTCATTCGTGAAAAGGACTTATTTGCATCATTAGTGGATTTAAAAGGTTTATCTGCCTTGGTTTTAGTTTAGGGGCTTAAATGCTATTTTTGGGTAAGTATGGGGGCTTAAGAAGGTTTTTTCCTATTATTATTTGTCGTCAGGAGTGCGCAGAGACTAGCGTCGGCATGGATGGCGTCAAAGATTAACGTCAGCATTTGGATCGGAACTGCCCGTCTCGTGACCATCGGTTCAGATATTTTATTATTATATTTATAAATATGTCGTTTCATAATAAAAACAGTGTAAATTATAAAATATTTATCTGTTTTTATTTATATAAAAAAAATTAATATTAATTTTAAAATTATTATTATATAAATAAATTTAATTAAATAATTAAT